ACCTGCCTCGTACCACATAAGAACCGAGTACATCCGTAGTACCAGAAGTGCTATGTCCACTCCTGTCAACAACAGCTCGTTGCATATTGCTTCGATGTTGTTGACCAGTTGATTGCGTTCCAGTGACACTAGACGCGGCATCCGACTGCACTGCAGATGCAGTCGCAGGGACTTGGAGATTTGCTCTCCCCGCTCGTCTTGTAGTAGTAGTAGTAGTAGTAGTAGTAGTAGTAGTAGTAGTAGTAGTAGTAGTAGTAGATGCGTCGCTGTATCGTCCTGGGTCGCTCCATTCCGCTTGTGGGCGTGTGGAACGTTCGGGACAACGGGTCACACCATGCCCAGTATCTCCGCAACACCAGCAACTAAAAGCCGGTCGTGAAGATGTCGTTCGAGCAGCCGCCTGTGCGTTGCTCACTCCGTCCGGGGCACTGCTGCTCGCAGTGGGTGCGCTTGGAGTAGGTCTCGGTGTTGTCGGACCTTTCTTTCTATTGTCCGGCTTATGTTTGATCAGCGCTTTAGCGACCTGATCAATCGTAGTCGGATACTCGTTCCTTTGCTCGTATTCCTTGAATTCCATGGCGTAGGTCTGATTCGCCTTGTCCAACATGCTTTGGAAGCGAGACCTGTCGCAGTTGTAGAAAAATGCACTTGCTTTGAATGTGCCCAGAACTTCTTTCTTGAACTTGGCTTGGAGCACCTTGATATTGTCCGGATCGGCCTCAGGATCGTCCAGATCCAGGTATCCCATTGTTTTGGTCGCATAGACATGCAACACATCTGTGCCAAGGATTTCGAATACTTGGTCAGCTTGAGCTTCGAACCGCCTTCTGTAATCGTTCACAGACTCATTTTGCTTCTGAGTGCAGTTTGTGAATCTCTTGAGAGATTCCATGAGTCCAAAGTGTTGCCACTCGGTCTTGTCTGTGATGGTCATGAACGTCTTGATACGCTTCAGAAGCATCACATGGTCTTCCTTGAGGTCCAACCAATCAGTTTCATTGCTTAACTTATCTCTCATCGCTTGAGTGATGAAATGCTTGGTGATGATCGCAGCCACGGTATATTGGTTTGTGGTGTAGATCATTTCTCGTTTGTCAATCTTGACATTTAGGTTTTCCCAGTTCCTATCAAGTTGAGCCTGACTCGAACTTTTGAAGAACTCGGAGTCGTTCTTTCCCGGCTTGTATACCGTTTGAGTGCCTCTTAAAGCCTCAAAGTCCACATGGGCCATATTTCTCACACTCCAGATCATATCTTGAGCGTAGTCCAAGCTCTTGAGCGCGATGGCCTCAAGCAAGTATATTGTTACCTGCTCGCGAGTGAAGTCAGGATTGTGAGGATGGTATTGCTTTGGTCTGTCGGCCTTCTTGCCGTGAGACCCTCGACCAGTCTGCTGCGCAGATCTTCCTCCACGGCCACCTGGACCGCCTCTGCCTTGGTTTCTTCTACCAGGCATCTTGCTCTGTAGTTCCTCCTATTTTGCAATGTTCAAAAATTACCTCTTGTTGATCGACTGTCAGATAATCAACTCCGTAGCTGTAATGAGAGCCTCAACGCTCTAGCTACCTCTGAAGTATACTGAGCTCGAATCTACGTTGGCTATGGATTGCCTACAATAGGAACAGGTGCCAGTGATGCTGGGCTTCAACCTGCGGATGAACAGTCTCACCACTTCCTATTAGATCTTATTCTACTGCTATTCTTGCCAGAAGTCGATCAACAATGATCTCCACAAGCAGGTACAAAAAATCTCTTCCAGAAGCCATCTGCGTCAGCTCTCACCAGCTGTCGCGGCGTATGAAGCACATACGCACATGTTCGTCACGAACTAGTCACAGAGTAGATCTACCTTCAATACTTATCCATCTCTGCATGTACTCGAACCGTACTTCTGTCCGTGTTCGATATCATCAATGTCCGACTTCACTGTCCGAAATGTTCGACTGTTCTTTTATCTATCAAGATCCCATTTCACCAACAATAGGTCATGCGCGGTTCAGCAGTGAGGAATTGCTTGAACAAGGCCTTCTTTTGACAACCCTGATTGAGTCCCCACTCTGAGGAGATGTTGCGAAAGGATTGAATGGACCTGAGGAGTGGTTCAACATTCTTTCCACTTGCACCATTCCAAACTTCAACCTTTCGCTTGCACTCAAAGTTGTTGTCAAAGAAACTGACATACTGTATCACTGGATTAGTGACTTCTCTGGCCTTGTATGCCAATGGAGAGTCGCCTTCATTGACAATGATGGTTTGACGGAGCATGTGCGTAGAAGCCATCGTAGAAAAAGTACTGTAGCGTGAAACTTGTTGTAAATCTGAAAGGATCGAGGTTTTTCGATCAAATCAAACAGCAATTGCTTGTGTGTGAGAGAGTATACTCTTGTAGTCTTCAATCTAAGCCTTATGGCTATTCAAATAGTGAACCAGCCTAGAAGAAGAGATAGGAATGGGTCACAACAAAAGTTATAGAGTCTCTCAGAAAGCCACAGAAAGGAGTGACGTAAGAGTTAGTCCTAAAGCTATGTCTGTACCTCCAAAGGGTCTAATCTAGTTCCAAGGTCACTCCAAGGTCATTACACCGTTGTGATCTGGAACACCCGGCAAATGACGAAAATCCGTACCGCACGGGGTCGACTGTGGGAATTTTGATGTCTTTCAATGGGCGATCCGTGCCTTAAATATATTTCCGTTTTTAAACAATATCATTTTCACAGAACAACTTTATTTTCGATCTTTTCTGTACCTAATTCCGTAAATAACAACCGGTCATTAGATGGTCGCAGGGTCATTAAGAAACTCCAAATTCCAAATCATATCAATAGACGGAATCCTGAAGTTCGGAGTTATAACTCATTGCGAGGGAATCCTTGAGTTATAACTCACACGTTTGAGTTATAACTCACACGTTTGAGTTATAACTCAAACGTGTGAGTTATAACTCAAACATAACTCAAACGTGTGAGTTATAACTCAAACGTGTGAGATTTTACTCAAACGTGTGAGATTTTACTCAAACGTGTGAGATTTTACTCAAACGTGTGAGATTTTACTCAAACGTGTGAGATTTTACTCAAACGTGTGAGATTTTACTCACCGAGCCGAGCTTCCCCCTTTTCCAAAATCGTTGCTGGAAATTCGAGCTGGCGGACCAACGACTACTTTCGCCAAAAGATACTTTCTTTTCCAGATCCAAACCCTACAAAAGAACTTGTCACGCAACATCATGACCACCGAGACCGCCAATAACGACCCAACAATGGCTGCAAATGCCACCGCCGCAAAATCACAAGGTAAGGGGAAAATGATTTTGACCAATGAAGACATTGA